TCTCTCTCTGTCAAATAAATAAATAAAATCTTAAAAAAAAAAAAGATCAAAGGTGGGAGAGTTGATGAGTTACCAAAACTTCCATTGGAATAGCATGTCTGCTTTCCAGTAAAGAGAAAGCAACACGAGGGAAAGCACATTAAGGATCTGAGGGTCCCATACAGAAGACCATGAAGGGGCACCAGCCTAGAGCAGAGGGTTTATTTGAGACATCGGGTTGGATGAGTGGGGAAGCCACAGATGTCTCGAGCCCTAAATGTCAAGAAGTGAAGAGACAGTATACTAGTGCTTTAGGGCCTCCATGACAAATGACCACAAAATGGGCAGCTTCAACAGAAATTTATTCTCCCTCAAATCTGGAGGCCAGAAGTCTGCAGTCGAGGTGGCGGCAGGGCCACATTCCCACTGGAAGACGTAGGGGAGAACGGTTCCTTGCTTCCTCCAGTTGCTGGTGGCTCCAGGCATTCCGTGGCCGTGGCTACAGTATTCTCACTCTGCCTCTGTCTGTATGTGGCCTTCTCCTCTGTGTGTCTGTGTCTTCTCTGTCTTATAAGGACAGTCACTGGATTGCCCAGGTAATCCAAGATGATCCCATTTGGAGATCTTTAACTTAATTACATCTGTCAAGATCCTTTTTCCAAACAAGGCGACATTCACAAAGGTCAGGATGTGGACATATCTTTTGGTGGGGGGCATCATTCAACCCGCTACAGATGGCAAATGGGACAAATGTTAGTCAAATTTAAGCAAAAGTGTTGCTCGATGAGCTCTACATTTAGTGGATGAAGATGAAGCTAGCAGGGGTGTGCAGAGAAGGGATAAAGACAGAAGAGGGTTTGTGGTTGAAGCCCTCGCCAGAGTAACCCATGGGATGAAGGTGTGGACCAGAGAATCACTTCAGGAAAGAGGAGGAAGTAATGCATATGAGAGACTTTCTAAAATAACTATCATCCTTGGTTATTTAAAGTTCTGTGCAATATAGAAAGAGCATAGGATTTCAAGTTCTAAGCTCCGACTTACACATGGACTAGCTGTACATTCGGTCAAGTCTTTAGTTGTAGTCTCCTCATCTATAAATGGGGGGGGGAGTAATAGCAAAACCAGCTTACTGCACAGATTGATGGCAAAGTCGCACTTAGACAGGACATGGGAAGGCAGTTGAGGCTAATTACCTGAATATGCTGTGGCATTAGTGCCCCTGGTTTAAAGTCCCGCTCTGCCACCAGTTAGCCAAGTGACTTCCAGCAAGTTCCTTAGATTTTCTACTCCTTGGTTTTCCCATCTGTAAAGTGTGAATGATGATAATTACCTAACTCGTGGAGGTTTTGTTAGGGGGTTAAATGAGATGATGCAAGTAAAGCACTTAGTATCTAGTATAAAACAGGCACTGAATACATGTCTTATTACAGGGAAGAACTTTGTAAACTTTGTTTAAAAAAAAATCTAAGTGCTGTGACAGTGACTTGCCATTCTGACTACACTGAAGCATCTCTTGAAGCTTCAGAAAAATGAAGATGTCTGGGCCTTGCCCTAGACCTACTGAATCAAGACCCATAGTTGTTTTTTTTTTTTAAGATTTTATTTATGGGGCGCCTGGGTGGCTCAGTTGGTTGAGCGACTGCCTTCGGCTCAGGTCATGATCCCGGAGTCCCGGGATCGAGCCCCACATCGGGCTCCCAGCTCGGCGGGGAGCCTGTTTCTCCCTCTGACCTTCCCCCCTCTCATGCTGTTTCTCTCTCGCTCGCTCTCTAATAAATAAATAAATAAAATCTTTAAAAAAAAAAGATTTTATTTATTCATTTGAGACAGAGAGATACAGAAAGAGAGAGAGCGTGAGCAGGGGGAGAGGCAGAGGAAAAGGGAGGAGCAGACTCCCCACTAAGCGAGGAGCCGGACATGATCCCAGGACCCAGAGATCATGACCTGAGCTGAAAGCAGAGGCTTAACCATCTGAGCCACCCAGGCGCCCCAAGATCCATAGTTTTTAAAGCTTCTCAGATGAATCTGCTGCACGAAGGAGAAATTCACCACAGCAGAACATGTTATTAGGATCCATTTCCTAATATCCATAAGGAGAACAAACAGTCTTTAAAGAGACCACATAAGCGGCCTAAAGCATCCCGAGCTTAACTCCTCCTTTAAAAAAAAAGTGTAGTACTTATTACATGTCAAGGACCATTAATGACTTTATATGTATTGACTCATTTAATACCCACAACATCCTTATGGAGCAGGAATTTTTGGTATTACAGATAAGGAAACTGAGGCACAGAAAGGCTAAGCAGCTCACCAAAAGTCACCCAGTTAGAAAGGTAGGTAGGAGCACCAGCGTTGGAACAACAGTCTTCTGGCTCGAACAACACCACCAAATGGATTCTCTCAAAGCTGTAGGGTCTCTCAAGCATGAAACCTCTCTAAACCTCAGTTTCCCTATCTGTAAAATGAGGATTATAACACGACTTACTTCACAGGGGACTTGTAAAAACTAAGTGAGATGCTGTATGCAGAGTACTCGGCAATGTATTTAGAATCTACTAAGCACCGAATGAAAGTCAGCCATATTATTCATAATTTTAATATACTATCACCAATTATTTAGTTACATGGAAATATAATGCTGGTTCCAGCTGAAGTGTAAGAATCTTTTATTTCCCAGCTGCTGGGGCAGGACACCTGATTCAAGGCAATGTGGGATCTGTCACTTGCATTTACCTCCTGAAGCTCTGTTTCCAGCACTCGAGGGTAAGAGTCCTTTGGTGCACAGGAAGACTTGAAGAGTGAAAAGGCCCATTTCATTAGCGAAGAAACACAAACTCTGCAAGACACTGAAGGACAAGCCCTTCTCAGTAAAGGAAAAATGAACGGAGAACAGCTGTGTCTTCTTCCAAAGAGAACTTCCTGCAGCTTCAACTTCTCAGGGAATTCAGAGCCTTGGCCTGAGGAAGAGGGAGAGACCGAGAGAGGCCGGTGAGAGCAGTCTTGCCAGATAACACACGTCATACACACTTCCCTTACGTGCCTTTTATAGGTCGTGTGAGTCTCTAGGAACAGGAGTCGACGGAAAGTCAAACTGATAAAGGAGATCACGGCCTAGGGGGACTAGGGAAGCCCAGGTCACATAATATTTTACAATTCCTGACACAGGCACTGGTTGCAGTAGCGTGCAGAGAGAGAAAACAAAAGTGTGATCTGTAAGGGTGTGTGCGGACTATGTAGAAAACAGAACCAGTTTCAGTTCCACGCCTCTCCACTCCCGCCCTCCTCGGCACCCTTGATTAGTTTCCGCCACAAAGCACCAGGGGGCGCCAGAGAGGGCGGAAACTTGTGTTTTCCCGGGACCCCCAGTGTTAGAAAAATCTTCTCTGGTCTTCATGTAGTATAAGGATGCTCACTATCAGTTCTTTTGGTATCTTTTTTTTAAAATGAAATGACTATATGCATAAGTTTACTGGCTAATACTTTTGGGCGAGGTGGGTAGTTCACAAATGAAAAAACAAATAATTAAGCATCGTTGGAGAATGCAGAAGTAAAGGAGATTTTCTAGGGATGAATGAATTCATTTGTCAAACAGCTATTAGCTGCTTTCTAGGTGCCCGCTGGTGAGATGCTTTTTTTGGTGCCATGAAAAGCGAACACACGATTTTCCACTGGATTCCTTAGTAACTCACAAGTCAAAATTTTCGTAATGCTCTTTGGAACTCTCTTTATCTTCCTCATCTATTCACCATTAACGTCTTCAGAGGAAGTCTGTGGGAGGGATAAGCACAAAGGCCTTGGAGTAAGACAGCTGGGTTCGATTCCCAGTTCTGCCACTTTCTAGCTATTAAGCTCCCTGTGCTCTACTTCCCTTATTTGTAAACTGGGGTGGTTACAGTACCTACCTCGTTGGGTGTTGTGAGGATTCACTGAGATAATTCATGCAAAGTGTTTGGACCCATGTCATATTTAAGAGCTCAGTGTCTTATTCAGATACTACCCATCCTTGGGAGTCCAGCTGAAATTACAGACAGAGATATACTTATGCAGGCCAATAAATTCTCCTTTGGTTCAATCACTTGCAACCAAAAGCATCCTGACTGATACAGCGGCTATATTTATTAATTCTTAAATTTGTGTCAGGTACTGTGCAAAGTACTTTCTGTGTCTTTTCTGTCTTATCTTTTAATGCTCATAATAGCTCTATGAGGTAAGAGACGACACAGGTACTGATAGGATTCTCCTTCTACAGATGAGGAAACAGTAAAAACCATTAAGTAGCCCATTTAAGGTCACACGGCTAATAAATGGAAGCATCAAGATCTAAAAACATTTCTACTCCGGGCGCCGGGGTGGCTCAGTCGTTAAGTGTCTGCCTTTGGCTCAGGCCATGGTCCCAGGGTCCTGGGATCGAGTCCCACGTCGGGCTCCCTGCTCGGCGGGAAGCCTGCTTCTCCCTCCCCCACTCCCCCTGCTTATGTTCCCTCTCTCACTGTGTCTCTCTCTGTCAAATAAATAAATAAAATCTTTAAACATAAATAAATAAAAACATTTCTACTCCTACTCTTACTATAAAATTGATATTTCCAGAAATGACAAAAATACGCACTTTTGTAACATGTTTAGAAAGTATGACCTCAGTCATTTGAGACTCCATGTTACACTTCCATACACTAGAACCTTCACTGACTTTTCCTTTCCCTGAGTATTGGTCAAGGTCACTATCAGAGCCCCCACATTTATCCCTTAATTACCTACTGTGCTCTCCTATTTACTAACAGTCTGACTAGAATGAACAGTCCAGGAAGGCAGGACTTTGTGTTGTTCACTGTTATGTCCCCAACACCTAGGAGGATGCCTGACATAATATAGGCACTAAAGAAACCTCTCTCCCAATCTCTCTCAAGTAAATAAATAAAATCTTAAAAAATCCCTTTTTGGGGCACCTGGGTGGCTCAGTTGGTTAAGCGACTGCCTTCGGCTCAGGTCATGATCCTGGAGTCCCTGGATCGAGTCCCGCATCGGGCTCCCTGCTCGGCAGGGAGTCTGCTTCTCCCTCTGGCCCTCCCCCTTCTCGTGTGTTCCCTCTCATTCTCTCTCTCTCAAATAAATAAATAAAAATCTTTAAAAAAAAATCCCTTTTTGTTCCTTTCTTTCATATCATCACATCGTAGGAGCTAAATGCACACACGTACACACACATAATGACTGATAGATATTTCAACTCTATCCTTAAAAGGAGCTCCTTTCCTTCAGAGTCCACAGCAGGAGCCTGTGAGTTCCTGCTTAGTACACCACAACAGAATGTGAATGTTCCCAACTCTGTCCTCGGCTCCATCCTTAAGGACAAGGGTTTATATTCTCGTCACTGTTGTGATGGAACTGGCCACAGCATAGAGCCTAAAAGATCTGGGGTCTCATCCTAGCCTTGCCACTAATCCTTTAGCCTCACTGAACCTCCATTTCCTCAGGTGTAAAATAGGAATGATCTCTCAGCTTTTTGTGAGGATCAAATTATATGGTTATGAAAAGGCCGAAAAACCCAGCAAGATATACAAAGGAAGACATAAATTTAATACATACATACCGTTTCTGGGTAAGAGAGGTTTAAAAAAAAAATCTCATTTTGATGACTGAATGTCTTATATTGATTGGCTTGTGAGGGTAGCATAGGATTTGGCCAAATGCAAATTGGAAATAATTTAGCTACATGTGATTTGAAAGAAAGCAATTTGGTTGAAATTAAGTTGGCTCCTAGGACAATTTAGTCAAAATATGGTTCGGTGAGCAAACTAAATTAGAAAAAAACTAATTTTTCTCAGTTATTGGTTTTACAAAAATTGGTTGTTTTGGTTTACTTTGGGGATAGAGTTTTTTTTTAAATATCTTTTAGCAGTTTTGTCATTTTGAAGAATTTCTGTTTCTTTTCTTCTTAAGTCATTTTCAGTATGCCTTTGAGTTGGGGATTTCATCAGTTTGGTCATTTGTCAAATGTGTTTCCTCTCAGGAGATCCATTTAACATTGATTAATTATTTATAATGGGAATTCATAATTGAGTAATTATAAAAATGAATTGTCAGAACACAGTCAACCACTTAGCTTGATAACTATTGCAGTTTGTCTTTCAAACATCTGAGCTCTTAGAAACTGGCTGGCTTGGGGTCTTTTTACCACTTTTCTGCAATTTACTGTTAAGAGAGCAATGAAGGGGAGAAAATCTTGAGTGCAGGGGAGGAAACATTCAGGATTCCAGTGCGGACAAAGACACCATTATCTGCGAAGAGCCTTCGAAAACCTCAATTTAAATGTAAAACTAGTGGCAAACTCAACTGTTGAAGTGGAAAAAGAAAGATTGCGTGGGAGGAAGGGGGTGAGGGGATTTTACTCGTCTTGATGTTGTAAACTCGGATGAAAGCACAAGAGGGCAGTGCAGTGCTAAATATCTCAAAGCTGACTGTTTGCAATGACTTGCAGACAAACATACCATCAGGGAAGGAAAAAAGTCAAACTCCTAGAAACAGAGAGCGGGATGGTGTTTGTCAGGGGCTGGGAGGTAGGGGACGTGAGGAAAGTTGGTAAAAGGGTACATATTTTCTGTAGAATAGATGCCTTGGGACACAGGATTCTTGCGAGGATTGGAAAGGACAACGGACAGGAAGTGCTCGGGACATAATAGCTGCAGCAGAACTGATTACTCTTATTGCCAAATTTTATTGTTACAATGCTTCCCATTTCTGAACAAGACAAGTAATACATAATCTGATTACAACAGCAGACAGTTCATTTTCCTCCTCTTCCTGGGTGAAAAGTGTAATTAGTTTGGGTCTGCTACATTCATTCTCATGCTGAAAAACCATCTTTGACTATGGAGATCGGTATAATATAACTCATTGGAATATAGAAATTAGAGTTCTTGCAGAAATACAGCAGATGAAAATGTCCTATTATACGTTAAGATGTTGTTAAAGAAAGTTTAGGAGGGGCGCCTGGCTGGCTCATTCGGTGGAGCCTGTGGGATTGTGAGTTCGAGCCCCACATTGAGCGTAGAGATTACTTAAATATAAAATCTTAAGGGGTGCGTGAGTGGCTCAGTCGGTTCGGCTCAGGTCATGATCCCAGGGTCTTATGATCGAACCCTACGTAGGGCTCTCTGCTCAGCGGGGAGCCTGATTCTCCCTCTCCCTCTGCCTGCTGCTCCCCCTGCTTGTGCTCTCTCTCTCAACCTCTTTGTCAAATAAAGAAATAAATAAAATCTTTAAAAAATATATTAAATCTTAAAAACAACCACAACAACAAAGAAAGGTTTATGAGTAGAGCCCAGCAAGCCAAGAATTCATAATCCCATTTTTCTTGTCAAATCCCAATACCTGATCTAATAACAGTAGTAACAATAATAATGTAGTCCTTATTTTTCCAATATAAAAGACTGCCAAGCCTTAATTGGTGAAAAGAATTCACCTGGGCATACAACAGCCATCCTGCCATGATGTCAATCATAATAAATCACTGTGCTATGGATAAATCAGTCAGCAAGTCAATGTTGTCTGGGGCGAGTTTAAAGAAAGGAGAACCAAGGACCAGAAGGAGTCACTGAAGCTCCCCGGTCCCCTAGGGATTGTTGCATGGGAGTCTAACACTTAATAGCAGTAAATATTCTGCAGGTTCAGAAAGATTTCTACCATCACTACTGGCCTGGACACATTCAGGCTGAATCAAGAATTCATTTGGGAATGGGAAAGTGGAAAGACTTGAGTTTATTTTCAAACTGTACATAAACAAAAAGATGAGTGCAACATCAGCTGCTAGTATTTTGGGTTTCTGTTGATCTGAAATATTCTCTATATATGCATTTTAAAAATCTTACTTTTTAATTAAAATGTAGCATCCTGCCTTATACCCTTTTTGGTACAAATCCAGCTACATGTAAAT